GGCATCATTATAAGGCGCCCCACCAATCGTTGTCTGTATGGGCGCCCCTCCGGGATAAGGCACTCCACACATCACGCCGATTTGGGCGCCTTATATATAACGACATGATTTGCGAGGCGCCCATAAAACCATGTGACGCCAAGGTGTACACGGGACCTCGGTCTATCATCAAATCCGAACGATAAGTCAGCTGTCATGGCCAGGCCCACTGTTCTGCACCAGTGAAAAAGGGGGAACCAAGCCGTAAAATCCCGATGAGCTTTCTCGGCCAATGCAGGGATCGAACACGCCACCGTGGCCGCCGAAAACAATAGTCTTTCAGAGAGAGAGAGAGAGAGAGAGATGGGGTTTAACGTTCACTCGACACAAACTAGGTCATTTCGGGACTAATATATGGTTCAACTTAATTTCAATAATTTACTTGCGGGTAGAGGTCTTTAGCAGTGGGAGGAAACCGGAGGACCCAGAGAATACACACGAGGTTGGACAGGCGTTTCTACTCTTTGTCACGTACAACTGGGGAATCGAAACCAGTTGACTCAATGACAGACCTTATGACACAACGCACACGCGCGCTAACCATTCGCCCCCCCCCCCCGCACTAAGGACGAGAGTATGAGCGTCTTTCTTAGTAAAAATAATATTATAAAAGATTATTATATTCTACCAAATATAGAAATATTCTTTTTAATTTATTGACCGTGTGGTTAATAGAAATGTCTCGAAGTTTTTGAATAGAGAAAAAGGTAAATAAAATCGTATACTTAGACCAGGAGACGAATAAACCTACATGTTGTTTAACTAAACAATGAATAAAACTTGGCATGTAACCAACTTTTAATTATTTCGATAATAACACAACAATTGCTTAAAGTTATATTCGTGAGCCCGTCTAACCCAGTCGGTACAGAACAGTAGAACGTTAAACCGCATTTTATTTGATTTATATTCGTGAAAATGTGGGTGTTTTCAAAATAGTCATCAAAAATGAGTTTCATATCGATTTAAAATGAGCTGAACAAGAAAATGTATCTAATTGTCTTGTTGGTTAACGTCTGAGGATTGTTTTGCCGATAAAGATTAATTATATATTTCAGAGCTCGACTGTGGACAAAAATTAATTGAAATTAACCGGAGTTTAACGTCCTTATTTTCTGCACCAACCGGGTAATGGAGATAGACATATGCCGTCCGTACATTATATGGTTCTTTAACCCCTCCCCCAGACATGGCCTTACCAAGTTCCTTATATGGTTCTTTAACCCCTCCCCTAGGCTAGAACTTACCAAGTTCCTTATATGTTTCTTTAACCCCTCCCCTAGGCATGACCTTACAAAGTTCCTTATATGTTTCTTTATCCCCTATGGTAGGCATGACCTTACCAAGTTCCTTATATTGTTCTTTATACCTTCTGGTAGGCATGAACTTACCAAGTTCCTTATATGGTTCTTTAACCCCGCCCCTAGGCATGACATTACCACGTTCCTTATATGGTTCTTTAACCCCTCCCCTAGGCATGACATTACGAAGTACCTAATATGGTTCTTTAACCCCTCCCCTAGGCGTGACCTTACCAACCTTATGTGGTTCTTTACCAACTCCCCTAGGCTTTCCTTATATGGTCCTAAGCACGCCCTTACCCAAATTCCTTATATGGTTCTTTACCCAGCTTATCAATAAACGTTTTCCTAAAAAAATTAGTGAGTCATAAAAATAAGAGCAAGGTATATAATATTTCAAATTATGAACAATTACGTGAATATAAAAGAAAATACTTTATTAAATAAAGACAACTAACATGATTGTAAAAAAAATATATAGAAATATGAAGCAATTTACAAAATGGTCTTTGGCTTTGCAAAAAATAAAAATGTTGCAATTAATTTTGATGTTTGGATATAGTCAGTAATTAGTAGAACCGCCATTTTACGGCTATCTGCTAGTGAACTGTGCGTGTGTGTATAATGGAATCCATGTTAACTCCAATTATTACCCTGTGCTTTGAACCATGATTATGTAAATTAAACTTATTAAACTTATATATTATTTGCTGATTTACACTACTACACCAATATGTAATTGTATATCAGTTCTCTATAAGCTTAGTGGTTTCGGGACTAACATATGGTTTAATTTTATTTCAACAATTCGCTTGCGCGAAGGGTCTTTAGCAGTGGGAGGAAACCGGAGGACCAGCAGAAAACCCACGGGGTTGGACAAACGACCTCCTTGTCACGTACAACTGCGGATTCGAAACTATCTCAGTTGACTCAATGACAGACCTTATGATACAGCGCGCACGTGCTAACCATTCGGCAATCCACACACAGCCCTTATATATACTAATGTACACTACTACGACGTATATCAACTCGACAGGTTAAAGGACAATATTGCTGTCAGCCATTATCATGTATGTGTATTGGAGTGGGGTTTAAAGGACAATATTGGTGTCAGCCATTATCGCAGATGTGATAAAACTGGTTAACAGGTTCCAAATATAATTTTAACACAGAGATCATTGATTCTATAGATGCGTAACGAAGATTTGAAGAAACGGAAGTGACGAAAGCAAAATGAAAACACAAGTTATCCTTCTATATAACTGATATAACGAATATCTGCTCACTAATGATTCCTTCGAAGACCAAAAGTTGTTATATGAGACTGTAAGAGGATATCGGACAATTTATAAAAAGAACTGAATTTCGAGAAAAATATAAAAAGTCCATATCATACTTCCATTCCATGTCGGTTCATTATCATTTTGATATCGGTTCATTATCATTTTGATATCGGTCCATTATCATTTTCATATCGGTTCATTATCATTTTGATGATGGTTCATTAGATAGGTCAGCCCAATTTGGGCAAGACAGACACCCCGGGACTGTTATTGTTTCAGTTTTAAGCTACATCGCTTAATGTAAAATCATCTTTATCACAAAACAAAACATACGCTGCCTTGATGAAACGTCATGGCAGGTCAATTAAACATACATTATACAAGACCTAAATCTGCCTAGTGCAGGTCTTTATTTAGGCCTGAAATGTTATATAAACTATTTAAACATACATTATTCAAGAGCTAAATCTGCCTAGTGCAGGTCTTTATTTAGGCCTGAAATGTTATATAAACTATTTAAACATACATTATTCAAGAGCTAAATCTGCCTAGCGCAGGTCTTTATTTAGGCCTGAAATGTTATATATACTATTAATTAGACATTTATTAAAAAAACAAAACCATAATAAACTATCGATGGCATCGCTAGCCTGTGATATTTACTGGATTATGGATTTCAGATTTTAAAAAATAAATAAACAGCGACTGAACCAGCCCGGATTCTATTAATCAAACATACCCGAAAAATAATCTATTGATCTGGACAATGGTTGTTATATACATATATACATTATTGACGAATTAATCTTAGGGAACTTGTTCGGGTTTCAAACAAACCGGTTCAGTTCGATATGTATTACATTTAAACACAACCGATAGCAGTTGTTTGTCGACAATCATGGTTTTAACCAATCTGATAAAACACAGATCCTATTTCGTTTCGTTTTTTATAGTTCAAAATTTCGTTTTACTTGTCTTACTACACTATGATCTACACATCTGGCTGAAGTGAGGGATTAGCCAATGAAACGGTCTGTTAAGGCGAGTTTTTGGCGAGATGTGCGCGGAACTTTGGGTAAACCACTAGAAAATGTCTGATGTTACAAGGTCAAAAGCCGCTCGCATGACACCTGACACGACCTTTCACTAAAACGAAATATAGATCTGGGGGCAGTTTCACAAAAGTTCGTAACTTTAAGAAAAAAAACTACGTTAAGAAAAACTTACGAAAAAGATACGAATTATTTACGCCGGTTTCACAAAGGCCGGCGTAAGTTTTTTCTTAACTTTTTCTCGTATCTTTTTTCGTAAATACGTCACGAATGGTCGTGACGTCATGTTGCGTCACTTCATTCACACTTCTGTAAACATTCCCACGGACTGAATGTTGACAATGTCGGCCTTATAGCCGTTATGTTTGATTTGATCCTTACCTTTTGAAACATAAACGACGAAATGATATATTCCTTATATATATGCTAAGATTTAGCGGTGTATTTATGAATAAAATGCTATTTTCATGCCTGTTGTTTACTTGTTTTTGTTTGCTACGTCATAGCGCGTGACATAGTACCATACGTCGTCTGTAAGTCTGCCAAAAGCCGAAATGGAACCAAAAAGGCGAAAACAAAATTGGAACCCGGCAGCTCTCGGTGTTTTAATTAAGGGGGTTGAACAGAATTATGGGATTCTGAAGGAACTATGCAGTGAACTATGTAATTTTACGACGAGTCCCCTTATCGCTTTCCCCTTATCGCGTGACATGTTGAAGCTTAAAGTTAAAACAAGACGATAATTCGTACGTTTACCTGAGTTTAGAATCAGCTGTTGCTTGAACATTAATGGAATGAAACCCTTTCCTGCAGACGAACAGCGGCTCATTTTCTCCCGATGGTGCCATGATGGCAACTTGTGTACCATCAATCGTTCCCACTACATTTGGGAAGCCTGCTATTTGGTGAAAACCTTCCTTTGTAGAATTGATATCTTCCATGGAATAGGGGAAATTTATTGATAATTTATCGTCAACACAGGTTGTTATTGCTCGTGAAACACGATAAATTACTCTAGACACTGATGGTACACTCATCCCATGTGCATCAGCAATGAGTTTTTGGAAGCTACCTGTGGCATAGTATCGTAATGCAATCAGGACATGTACAGGTGATGACAAGGATTTCGATCGGTAAGTTGCGGTTTCGATATCATCATTATTAATAATAATACAGTTAATAAGATGTAATATATTGGTCCGATCAAGTCTGTACCGCGAAACTAACTCCTCATCTGTATGGGTGTCGAGAGGGTTTAATCTATCCCAGAATATTCTCTCTCGTCGAAGTTGCCGATCCGCATAAAGTAACAAAGCGGCCATTTTGTCAAAGATACGAAAAAAATTCCAACTTACGACAAGGTGAGAGTTGCCGTAGACTTAACGATAAAAGTTACGAATTTCGTAAGTTAAGAATTTTAGTGAAACGCGATTTTTACGTAAGTTTACGTTACGATAAACTTACGCAAATTTTTCATCGTAAGTTGCTTTGTGAAACTGCCCCCTGTATTTTAATCAGATTGGGTTTTAAAGCAACACACGAACTATGGTAATTATAGTAAATAGTTTGGATTCCCTTAGCCTGAAACTAAAAACAAAAAACCCCCAAAAAACGAGTTCCCGTACGATAAATTCGCCCTTCTTTAGTTGCCAAACATCGGTTTGCTTTATATAATCAGTTGCCATGGTTACAAAAACCACGTGATGATTAAACTGATTATAATTAAAGTTAGCGACATCTGGGTTGTCATGGTTACAAAAACCAAGTGCTGATTAAGCTCGTTATAATTAGAGTTAGCGACATCCGGGTGGTAAAACCTCTAGCCAGAATTTCAGTGGTGTAGAGATCTACCCCTTGCAGTTGTCCACCTAAAGTAAAATACACGGTAGGCGATTTCTTGCCATCTCCACCATAACTATAGCCCAACACACGTAGACTGTAGGTGATTCCCCTCTCTACGTTGGGTATTACAGCATGGGTTACCTTGCCTACAACCACTTCCTGGGCTGTATTCATATTTTGTGACGATTCCCAGTAACGCAGCTGAAACACAATAAAACACTTGGGATTAAATTAAACTGTTAAATACATCACAACACACATTAAACATACGACCACTGTTAAATGAAGCCGTCGTGGCTAAGTGGGTAAGACCCTGGCTCGCTGGAGGTCGCGTGTTCGATCCCTGCATTGACCGAGAAAGGTCATCGGGTTTTCCAATGTGGTTTGCCCTTGTCAGTGGTGCAGGACGGGGACAGATATGAAGAAAACGATACCTTGGCAGTTGGTATTCGATATAAGAGTAGGTCATAATTCTGCTACCCGGGCAAACCTTCCCTCATAGCACACTGCATGGTGTATGCCCGTCTTCATTAGCCAAGTCGGGGTTGAACAGTAGGACGTTAAACCCAATTTCATTTCACATCAAACATACTTTAACTGTTAAACACGCCACAAAACACATCAGATATACTTTAACTCGTTTCACCCTAGTTAGGTAAATCGCATGTTTAAACTATTCAGTCTTCGCTAGCTCTGGCCTTCCCGACTCGTAGGACATTAAATCCCTTTATATTTTATTTGTTTTAAAAGTATACCTTATATCCTCTGAGAGCCTCCTCTAGTATTGTAGTGCTTATACCTCTCCACCAGACATTGATACTGCTCTCATCTCGAGATGTTACATTCACATATTCAGGATATAAAAACGGTGCTGAAATATAAAAATTAACTTATAAACCTGCTCTTGTGGTCATCTTTCAAACAGTCATCCGCCTATAACTGTCAAACAATGTTTGAGCAAGACAGTAGGACGTTAAACCCCATTTCATTTCATTTAAATTAATGTTTAAGTATTTAGAATCACGACTGTCAACCAGTGTTTACGTATTTAGGATCAAGCCCGTCAACCATTGTTTACGTATTTAGGATCACGACCGACCGTCAAAGAAAATCAATGTTTATATAACTTACACGATAATTCTATTTTTAATTTTAAAACCCCGTGATATTTGTTTTTATATGCATATTATATTCATTGTTTAATTTTTCACCATGTTTGACGCATTATATCGCCTGCCCAACCTCGTGGGTTTTCTCCTGGTCCTCCGGTTTCCTCCCACTGCTAAAGACCCCTACGCGAAAGCGAATTATTGAAATAAAATTGAACCGTGTGTTAGTCCTGAAATGACCTAGTTTGTGTTGAGTGGACGTTAAACCCAATTCCTCCCTATAGCAAGGTTGGAGTTGGCGTGTCATAAAGCTCCAGTTCATTCATTCCTTTATACTTACGCGACGCCCAAGTTGAAACTCTGGCATCTTCACTTTTTGGTCCTAAACCTGCTGTATTGTACACTTGGGCGTTCACCCAGTAGTCAGAATTCTCATCCAGTCCGATTATCCGACCGAAATCGGCTTGTCCAAGATGGCGACTAAACAGGGCATCTTGGTACGTCATACCCTCCAGCCAATAATTGACCTGAATAATGGGAGATAATTCAATCATTTTCACATAAATCTATCTACTACCTCTAAGTGAAATTATTTTTTAATTTATGAAAATCCATCAATTTTCGGTACCAACCGAACTAATTAAGACGGAAATGAAATGAAATGGTGTTTAACGTCCTACTGTTCTGCTCCGACGGGGATAATGAAGACGAGCATGATGAAAATTTTGCCCCGGCAGCCGCACTGTTGCCTACTCTTATATCGAATTCCAACTGCTAAGGAATCTTTTACTTGCATGCCAATGTATACACGGGATTTCTGTTTTTCGTGCCATTCGAACGACTAGACAGCTGTCCTTGTCAGGCCCTCCGCCCCGCATCACTGACAAGGGGAAACCACGTCGAAAAAAAACTAATAAAGACGGACATAAACCATGCTGTGTGCCGACTCTTCAATGGATTTCATATGTTAACGATTTTTTAAAAAAAAAGTTTTTCAGTTTTTGAAACAGAGTAATTTGGGATCTAGTCTTTGCAAATACCACATAACTCGAACCGCAGTGAGCAATGTATATAGTCGTTCGGATGGGACGAAAGGTCGAGGTCCCGTATATACATGCTGTGTACATAAAATATCCCTTGGGAGTTTGAATTCCATATAAGAGTAGGCCGTAGTGCCACTGTCCGGGCAAAATATACCCCAATGCCCGTCTCCATTAAACCAAGTCGGAGCAAAATAGTAGGACGTTAACCCGATTTCATATCATTTCATTTCCGTTTACTAAATTGATTTACTGGAAGATAAACGCTACCTGATAGCCTAGAACACGGCCTTTCATATGTTCCCGATCGTCTGGACATGGATCCCAGAATATGTCAGCTGCTGTGGCGTTAAGCTCCGCGCCATTCACGTTAGCCGGTGTTGCAAGTGGCACTGAAATGGTTACAAGAGTAAAATATAAGTCTGAGACATTTAATTCCAATATGGCCGTCATCAGTATTGAATAGACCTAATCTAATTTAAACAAGAAGTAGGAAATGATTATGACATCATCGTAGCCATCATGGAAGTGTAACGTCATGCGAAAAATCGCCCCAACGAATCGAACCGTAACCAGTTGAGTAGCGGTTAGAGCCCAGTTCCTGGTCTAACAACAGATTAGGTTGGTTACCCCCCCCCCCCCCGATATATAAAGACATATAAAGGCACAGCTCGTTCGACCCTAGAAATACCCACAATCAAATTTATGGATAGTGAAAACTTTCAAAACATTTTGCGGAATTTACTGTAACACGTGTTTTGTTATCACAATCTTGTTCTTCCTTTGTTTCACATAGTGCTAACGGACCTAAACAAATACCCAGTCAGGTGGGGGCAAGAATTTTTTTTCAGAAGAATGCCGTCCCAAGAACATTGAGAAATAGACGAAGAAGAAGATTACTAACCAGAATAAGAACAAGAATAAGAAAATAGAGACGACCAATGACAAGGCGGATAACAAGGGGAAGAACAAGGAGAAGATGACCAAAAAAAAGAACAAGAACAGATATAAGCACAAGCACCAGGAAAGGCCGATTAATTAGGAGAAGAGCAAGAACAACGAGAGAAAGAACACGATGAACAGAGAATAGAACAAGAACATACGAGAGGGCGAGGGGAACAACAAAACAGGGAAAAGAACAAGGACGACACCAAGAACAGGGAAAAGAACAAGGAGAACACCAATAACAGGGAAAGGAAAAAGGAGAACACCAAGAAGAGGGAAAAGAACAAGGAGTACACCAAGAAGAGGGAAAAGAACAAGGAGAACAACACCAAGAAGAGAGAAAAGAACAAGGAAAACACCAAGAACAGGGAAAAGAATAGGTAGAACACCAAGAGTAGTTAAAAGAACAGGCAGAACACCAAGAGCAGGGCGGAGAACATTGATAAGAACAGGGAGAGCACCAAAATCAAGGAACATAAAACGGACAAGGAAGAGAACAAGGAGAATTGTGATAAAGAACAAAGAAAAGAACAAGATGAAGCGGAAGAACAAACGGAAGACCAAGAACAAGGAAATATCATGAACAAAGAGAAGGGTCACATCAGGGAGAAGAACATCAAGAACATCGAGAAGAACACGGATAAGAACAAGAACAGGGAAAAGCGGAAAAGAACAAGGACAGGCAGCAGAACAAGAACAGGGGAAAGGGGAAAAGAACAAGGATAGACGGAAGAACAAGAATAGACGGAAGAACAAGAAGAAACAGGAGAACAATATACTTACTATCCTCGGCTGAAAATATAACAACTACTGTAGTGTTTGGTCCAGCTCCCAGATCATTTACTACTCCTACTTTCACTTCATACTCGGTATAATAATACTGATATTCTATTATAGTGATAAATACTTCCTTTTCACCTGCTACAGGTGGATCCTGTAGAAATATAAACACAGGTGGATTCCTTATATAAATATACTCTTCAAAAAAAGTAGGGGATATTCAGAAACAATACAAAACTGTGGAAACCAGTGTATGTTAATAACAGGCCAATGGCCTACACTTAAACATAAACAGTTCATATGGGCGACTTATCTGACGGCCCCATTTCACTCGTCAAAAGTGAAAATGGACGTTTTTGATTTTTGTCTTAATAATAAGTAATTGCTCCACCAATCCTCAGACGTTCAGCAATTCGTCGTGGCATGCTCCTAATCAATCGTCCAATCACGATTTGGGGCAATCTGACCGACTCTTCTTGCAGTGCCACGGCCAATTCTTGCAGTGTTGTCCGTTGACGTTGACGTCGTCGAACACGTCTCCCGATCAAATTAAATGTAACACACTAAAGCAAAGATACGCTAAACAGTAAATCTTATGCAAGAACCGATAGGAAAGCAAGCATGGATAGATAAACCAGCACGCGGCAGTTTTCATCAACCCTTCCTTGAAGTGTCAAATTTGACAATGACCCCCGCCCCCGTGTATGGCGCTATTGCGTGTCGCAGGTGCAGCTCAGTGGTTCTGTTGGGACGATAAGTTCTTCATCTGTGAACATACTCTCAAAGCATGTCAAATGTCCATGATTATTTATCATATCGCAACCTGCATAGGTATTTGCATTTCAATATCCCCTACTTTTTTTTGAAGAGTATATAAGCACATAGCACAGGTGACTCCTGTATAAATATAACACACATGGTTTTCTTTATTGGCGTTCAGGTAAGAGGCAGTAGGAATTCGATAAAGAGTAACCGGAAATGACGTTATCCGGGCATAATTCCCTTGTGCCACAACTGTAGTGTATGGCCATTTGGATGAAACCTAATTTCACTGCTTATTTTCCTAAATACAAGGCCGACAACTCTTACTTACCGATACAAGCCATTTGCCATAAATATTATCTTTCTTTCTCCAGTAAACTTTATAATGTAGACCGGGTCCACCGTGTTGTCCTATAGGTAATTTCTACATAAAAAATAAAACTTAACATATTTGTATAACAAAACACTGGTATACTCATCTAAACACTATGTTTTAGTCAGAGAGAGAGAGAGAGAGAGAGAGAGAGAGAAGCCACAAGGTTAGACGGACAACCCTACTCCTTGTCACGTACAAGTGTGACACTGAAACTACGCCTCATGCCTCAATGATAGATCCTATGATCTAAAACATATATATTTATATATTTCTTAGTCGGATAACAAAACTCAAACACTATTATTTCGGTCATAAAAGGTACGTTTTTAAAATCCAACATGGCGGGCGGGAGTACTGAGTTATAGTAAAATGTATTTTTGGTTACCTCCCAATGAACCCTGAGTTCCCCAACACTTCCTCCTCCACCACCAACACCCTGTACAGCATCAGCTGGGGCAGCAGCTGGTATAGCAAAAAACTCTGTAAAGATATAAACATCAATAAATACTCCAGATGATATCTCTCATAGCGGGAGAGAGAGAGAGACAGAGAAATGGGGTTTAACATCTACTCGACACAAACTAGGTCATTTCGGGACTAACATATGGTTCAATTTTATTTCAATAATTCGCTTGCGCGTAGGGGTCTTTAGCAGTGGGATGAAACCGGAGGACCCGCAGAAAACCCACGAGGCTGGACAGGCCACCCTACTCCTTGTCACGTATAACCGGGGATTCGAAACACGCCATTTGACTCAATGACAGGCCTTATGATACAGTGCGCATGTGTCAACCCCCACCCCCATCTCTCGTAGCAATTATCAATCCGATTAAAGTACACATCTATATTTCGTTTCGTTTTTTTTTCATACTTTCGATGGCCTCTATAACATCAAGATCTGAACAGTTGTAGTGGATGGTTGCATCCAGGGTCATACGAGCGGCTTTTGACCCTATGACGTCTGACTTTTGATTAACCAATCAGCGTTGATGTTTCTAGTAGGATAGCCACAGTTGCGTGCATCGCACGCCAAAAACTCGATGCAACAGACCGTTTCATTGGCTAATCCCTCACTTCAACCAGAACGCTGTTTATATAACAACTCTTCCAAATCTTAGTATAGTAAAAACGAAATTTTGAACTATAAAAAACGAAACGAAATAGGGTCTGTGTTTTAATCAGATTGAGCTTCTATTGATGTTTTAAAGACCGCGAGCGACTATATAAATCAAACTTACTTGATGGCAGGCTAGGTTCACCATAACCGTGAATGTTGTATTAAAGACCGTGAGCAACTATATAAATTAAACTTACTTGATGGCAGGCTAGGTTCACCATAACCGTGAATGTTATAGGCTGTAACTCTAAAACTATACCGGGTACCTGGACTCAAATTGTCCACCGTGTAACCATATTTACTTGGTCCGTCTGTTAATATTGTTTCTGTTATATCTATATCTGTCAGAACAATAAATAATAACTTTAAGAACCGAAATTCAATCGCTAATATCTCGGTCTAGAGTGGGTCAATCCCTTTATATTATCTAGTTTTTAACTATTATAGTGAGAACTGTCAGCTCTTTTTATCTAATCTCCAATAATGTATGGGGATCACGTGGCTAAGTGGGTAAGACGCTAGCTCGCTAGCCTGGAGGTCGGGTGTTCGATCCCTGCATTGGCCGAGAAAGTTCATCCAGATTTTCCGGCGTGGTTCTCCCTTGTCAGTGATGCAGGACGGAGGGGCTGACAAGGAAAACTGTCTAGTCGTTCGGATGGGACGAAAAACCGAGGTCCCGTGTACACATTGGCGTGCACGTAAAAGATCCCTTGGCAGTTGGAATTCGATATAAGAGTAGGCCGTAGTGCCGCTGTCCGGGCAAAATTTCCCTCATAGCACACTGTATGGCGTATGCCCGTCTTCATTAGCCCAGGTTAGGAGCAGAACAGTAGGACGTTAAACCCCATTTCATTTCATTTCATTTCATTTCCAATAATGTATCTTTAATATTAAAATACTTACTATCCCTGTAAACTCGCCAGACCATATCATATACATTAAAATATTCTATTCTATACTGTAATATAGCACTACCATGAGTCAGCCCTGCCGTCCATTTTAAATCTATGCTCCTGTCGTTGTTAATGTTTTTGGCATAAACTCCTGCTGGTTCGCCCGGTGGTCCTGAAATTAGTTCGTCAGTGAATTTAAAACAAGCAATCAATGAAAATATCTCAGTTTGATTGCATAAAAATACGCTTTATATTAATAAATTGAAAGCAGTTGACGAAAGGGAAAGATGATTTCTCATTCTATCTGGGTTATCGCCCCTTTTGACGGTCTAACTTATGACGTCAACTGGCAGACTATCACCGTCAAGTAACGCCATTTAGCAGACGACCGCTGCTAGGACTGGTCGCATCATTTCTATTGCTCCTTTCGGTGTTAGATTTCTGTGTTTTGTAGAATTAGATATACCCAAACCTTTTTATTTAAGACCATTTCATCACAGGTCACCCGGGAATTAAAACGCGAAACTAAAATTGCAATCTAAATTTTATTGAAGATAGATAGATAGATATAAATGGTGTTTGACGTCCAATCAACACAAACAAGGTCATTTCGGGACTAACATATGGTTCAATTTCATTTCAATAATTTCAAAAGGGGTCTTTAGCAGTGGGAGGAAACCGGAGGACCCGGTGAAAACCCACGAGATTGGACGGACGACCCTACTCCATGTCACGTACAAGCGGGGAATCGAAACCATGCCACTTGACTCAATGACCGACCTTCTGACCAAACGCTTACCCCCCTCCCCCGCCCCAACACACGGCCTCCCCGAATTATTAAAGAAGGTTAAGACTTACCAAAGACTGTAAGATAAGCACTAGCAGATGAAACATCTTGAGGAGTCTGAGCTACACATTTATAAATACCCTGATGTGTATACTGGGCATATCGTATATACAATCCATGGAAAGAGTCACGTGTTCCCTAAAAACATATCATTATATCTGTTTAGTCAAGTTATTTTAGAACTTGAATACTACTACAATATTGTAACAGTCGAATCTCTAAATGTACGAGAGAGAGAGAGAGAGAGAGAGGGAGAGAGAGAGAGAGAGAGAGAGATCTGGACGACTCGGACAACCCTACTCCTTATCACATACAAGTGTGACACTGAAACTAGAGTGAGAGAGAGAGAGAGTTAAACGTCAACTCGACACAAACTAGGTCATTTTGGGACTAACATATGGTTCAATTTTATTTCAATAATTCGCTTGAGCGTAGTGGTTTTTAGTAGTGGAAGGAAACCAGAGGACCCGGAGAAAACCCACGAGGCTGGACAGGCGACCTACTCCTTGTCAGGTACAACGAGGGAACCGAAACCACGCCAGTTGACTCAATGACAGGCCTTATGATACAACGCACACGCGCTAACAATTCGGCCGTCCAATCCCCTATCTATAAAGGTGTGGTCAATTCAAAGTTAAAAGAAATGAAATGAAATGGAGTTTAACGTCCTACTGTCTGTTCCGACTGGGCTAATGAAGACGGGCATACGCCATACAGTGTGCTATAAGGGAAATAGTGCCTGGACGGCCTACTCTTATATCGAATTCATTATTATATCATGGTCAAGTTGAGTACACATGGCTGCCGCATATTAATGAATCTAGTTGGAGTATACCAACCCTAACCCTAACCCCTTTTAGAAGACTCAACTTGGATACAATTTACCTTTTACCTGTCTAAAAAGGGTTACTATTGGTATTCATTAATATGCGGCGGCCATGTTGGATTTTTGAAGTGGCCATTATACCATATTACTTTAAACGTTAGATAGATTACTTACAACAGTATAATGTGGCTCAATGTCCAAGTCTATACGTCTTTCGTAGAAATACCAGACGTACGACAGATCGTGTCTAGCTTCATCATATGAAGCCTGACAGTAGAAGAAGGCCGTGTTGTTTATTAAGACAAACTCATTGGTTGGGGTTTTCACCAAGGTTGTTCTGGCTGAAATAACAGAAAAACAGAGAAAAATACAGCCTCGTGTACGACACCTGTCGAATGGGTTTGAAATTAATACGTATTACTATCGTTATCGTCAAGGATATTGTTTTCGTGAACGGCAATGTGTAGGCGGGTGCACCTTGGTTTTTCAAACCATTATAAAAAAAACCCTAGTCTGCCCCGTGTACGATACCCGTTAACAAAGATTGAAAAGTACTAATGTGTATTAGTTGTGTGAACTCCTAAAATTTTGAGACTAACACGGGGTGCGGGTACTTGAACAGCAAGGTAGTCACGAGTGGACCTCCGTTATTTGTCCCATCTCGAACAACTTTCAAAGAAGTTATATTAGAAATAAGTGGCATTAAAAGTTCGGGAAAAACACCAATCAGAGATGGGTTGACACTTGATAGATTTGAACATCCACAATGTCACTTGTATAGTCAAATTGAACATCCACAATATCACATCTATAGTTAAATTCCGTCAAATTGAAAATATGTGTCATTTACAAACCGACGAAGACACACAAAACGTCACGTGACAGCCACTAATGGCGACCCCATGACCGGTTGTAGTGGACGGTCGCAATGGGTGTCATACGAGCGGCTTTTGACCTCATGACGTCAGATATTGATTAATCAATTAGCGTTGACGTTTCTAGTGGTTTACACAAAGTTCCGTGCACCTCAACTCAAAAACTCGCCGTAACAGCCCGTTTCATAGGCTAACCCCTCACATCAACCAGAACGCGGGTTATATAACAATTCTTCTAGATCCTAGTGTAGTAAAGACAAGTAAAAAAAAAATTTTAAACTATAAAAAACGAAACGAAATAGGATCTGTGTTTTAATCAGGTTTGTTTTGTTTACGAATTGAATTGTATATACCCGTACCTTCATTAGAAAGAAATAAAATGTAATGAAATGTTGTTTAGAGTCCTGTTGTTCGGCCTTGATTGGGTTAATGAAGACGGGCATATGCCATGCTGTGTGCTATTAGGGATATTTTCCCGGACAGCGGTGCCACTGCTTACTCTTATACAGAATTACAAGTTCGAAGGGATCTTTTACGTGCACACCAATGTGTATAAGGGGCACTATGGTTAGGGTGAGTAAATCACAACTTACATGTAACATATATTCTAGCTGAAGAACTGTCTTTGCCGAGATCATTAGAAGCTTCACACGTATATACACCAGCATCACTCTGAGTTAGATCATTTATCAACAAATAACCATTCGGCAGCTGCATTAGTCTACCCACTCCACCTTGAGTTACTGAGAGTTGTGCCCCATCCTTTAACCACGTGATAGTAGGATATGGAGCGCCTTCCGGTAAACAGACAATGGTAAGATTACCTCCCTGTGTTGCTACTGTTGTCTTCAGGGGATGTTTTGCAAAGGTAGGTTTAAAATCTGAAATAAAAATTATAATAATTTATAATTGCAAACAGCGCCATTAATCCTGTCAAAAGTTACTGGGACACTGGAACCCAAGCCACTGACAACGAAGGCAGTTAACGGAGCCATATTGACTCGTTGACTATGGACTGACCGAGTATCCTGAGGTGCCGGGTTCGATCCCTGTGGTGGGTTAAATGACCGAATGGTTAGCGCGTGGGCGTTGTATCATAAGGTCTGTCATTGAGTCAATTGGCATGGTTTCGATTCTCGGGATGTACGTGACAAGGAGTATGGTGGCCTGTCTAACCTCGTGGGTTTTCTCCGGGTACTCGGGTTTCCACCCACTGCTAAAGACCCCTACGCGCACGCGAATTATTGAAATAAAAAAAACGGAACCATATCTTAGTTCCGAAATGACCTAGTTTGTGTCGAGTGGACGTTAAAACCGTCGGTGCAGAACAGTAAAAAGTTAAACCCTATTTCATTTGGCTTGGTTATGATCTTGCATAGGCGTAGGAGCCGGCGGGGCAGGGGGGGGCAAAAATTTATTTTCGGGCAATGAAAAATTCGACGACCTTTTTTTTCTATTAATGTTTAGAGAAAAAATATAACTAACTTATTTCTATGAGATCCACACTGCCCGAAAAGTATTTTCTCGTCCTTTTTTTGTCCACTGCATGCCCGAAAATATGCCCGAAGCTCTCTTATGGAGGTATGTTCGAAAAAACGGTATTGATTTCGGGCAATTTTCTCTTATGCCCCCCTGAATTACTTTGAGCTCCTACGCCTATGTGATCTTGGTGTTATCTTACTTAATGTTCGTAGTTGAGCATTGCTGTAGGATGATCCGTGGATATTTTTAGCTAAACACTGGTACATTCCTTCATGACGTTTATCAGCTTCATGTATTACCAGTACATTCTCTTGAACCTCGATATCACCTGGGATAGATTCTATTGGCTTGCTGTTTTTAAACCACGTGTATGTTGCTATGGGTACAGCGATTGCTTGACATCGCCATGACACCGAACCACCCTTATCTAAGTGTTGGTCTTTTAAAGGATACATAAAATACGGTTCGGCTGAAATAAATAAAATTGTAGAAAAATGAATAACAAAATACTACAAATATCTAAACTACAAATTAGAGGTGTATTCGGGTGTTCCAGAAAGCATATCCAAGGAATCCCGGTGAGTGTGGCACCGGTTTACTAAATAGGTCACCTCGTGCTCGTAGCGCCATGATCATCTCTTTATTAGAGAGAGAGAAAGAGAGAGAGAGGAGTTTTGGTGAAATGAAATCTAATGGGGTTTAACGTCCTACTGTTCTGCTCCGAACTGGGCTAATGAAGACACGGGCATACGCCATACAGTGTGCTACGAGGGACATTTAGCCCGCTACGGCCTACTCTTATATCGAATCTTTTGCGTGCACGCCAATGTGTACACGTGACCTCGGTGGTTCGTCCCATCCGAACGACTAGACAGCTGTCCTTGTCAGGTCCTCAGTCCAGCATTAATGACAAGGGGGAACCACGCCGGGAAATTTGGATGAACGTTCTCGGCCAATGCAGAGATCGAACACCCGATCTCCAGGCTAGCGTGCCAGCGTCTTACATACTAGGTCATTTCGTGACTAACATATGGTTCAATTTTATTTCTACCTTCAATGGCCACAAAGATGTTTTTACTGGCCGATGCTGTTTCTCCTCGTTTAACATGACACGTATAACTACCGCTGTCTTCTAGTTTTACATCGTGTATTATCATAACCCGTTTAGCATCGTCATAAGATATATTCGCTGGTAATCCATATTCTTCTCTATCCCACGTATAATACATTGGTAATCTTTAATATAACAAAGCAACAGTGAGACGTAATCCCAAAATAATAACAATACTAATAATAATAATAATATATGCATTTATATTCACTACCGATAGTGCTCTGTGCCCTGGTTGTTCAATACTAATAGCAGATTTGAAAAAGAAAAGTTTTCAATTTTCTTCTGAATATGTTGAGACTTGAAGATGATTTAATGTCAATAGGTAACTTTAATAAACATTGACCCCAATCTTACACGTAATACATTGGTAATTTTTAATAGAACAAGCCAACAGGGAGGTTGGTATTCACCGTCTCCATCCCCCCCCCCAAAAAAAAATAGATGATCCTCATTAATTACTCGCACTTATGTATTTAGGCTTATCAAACTGCTTAGCCTAAGTGGTCGTCACCTCCCCCCCCCACACACACACCCACACACACTCTCTCTCTCTCTCTGTCTCTCTCTCTGTCTCTCTCTCTCTGTGTGCGTGTCTCTCTCTCTCTCTTTTATTAGTTATACTTTTATTAATTATACTTTTATTAATTATACTTTTATTAATAATGCTTTTATTAATTATGCTTTTATTAATTATACTTTTATTAATTATGCTTTTATTAATTATGCTTTTATTAATTATACTTTTATTAAAAATGCTTTTGTTAATTATGCTTTTATTAATTATGCCTTTATTATTATGTTTTTATTAATTATGCTTTCTTTTATTATCCTTTATTAAGTGGTCGTTACCCCCCCCCCCCCACGCACACACACACACACACACTCACGACCTAGTTTGTGTCGGGTGAACGTTAAACCCCATCTCTCTCTCTCTCTCTCTCTCTCTCTCTCCCTCTCTCTCTCTCTCTTTTATTAATTATACTTTTATTAATTATGCTTTGATTATTATGTTTTTATTAATTATGCTTTGCTTATTATGTTTTTATTAATTATGCTTTGATTATTATGTTTTTATTATTATGCTTTTATTAACTCTACGTTTTTATTTATACTTCTATTATTAATCATAGTTATATTTAACTATACTTACTTTCCATAAGCAAAACATTCCAATCTTAAATCTTTTCCTCTCATGGGTGGTGATGGAAAGGCAGCTGGAAAGTCATTATGTATCAATGGACCGTATTCGTTGGCATCTGTAATTTAAGACATGGCAATTAGACATTACGGACAATTGATCCACAGTTACATTTTCCCACAATTATTGATTACTACTACAAGAGCTATTACTACTAATGATACTAGTACTGCTACTACTACTACTAGTAGCACTGCTACTACAAGTGATTCTACTACTAATGATACTAGAAGTGCTACTACTATCGAAAGTATAAAAAAAGAAACGAAACATAGATCTGTATTATAATCAGATGGGTTCATAACGTATTTATTCTAAAATAAACACTAACTCACTTTCTGAAGTAACAGTCAGTCCGATACCAAGACTGGTTTCCATGGGTCCTTGTTGAGTCGCCATTTGTTGACCCTCTGGTGCAATCAATGTTACTACACAGAAATATTGACCATGATCACTGGGTTGAAGCTCGGAGAAGTACAGCTTACCATTTCTCGATATAAACATGTGGGGATTCAGCCGTGGTCTCACAAAATAACGAGTATCGGTTTTATACCAAGAGAACAACACCTCTGAAAAAAAACATGTTTTAATTATTTGGGTTGTCTTTTATAAGCCCCTCGTCAGCGAGAGAGCGAGATGGTTAACGTCCACTCGCCAAAAATATTTAGGCCGTTTCGGAACTAACATATAGTTCAATTTTATTTCAATAATTCGCTTGAGCTAAGTTGTCTTCAGCAGTTTGGGGGAACCAGGGGACTTGGAGAAATGTGACCCTAAACCAGAGTTAAATTCAATTGTTATTTCGATTTGCCTAAGTAAATATATTCATCCACGTAAAGATCCTGTAGTACAACTGAAAACTAAACAGATTGGATTGGCATGGTGTTTAACGTCTCTTTTCCCTTGTCAGTGGTGCAAGACGGAGGGCCGGACAAGGACAGCAGTCTAGTCGTTCGGATTGGGCGAAAACCAGAGGTCCCGCGTACACATGCACGCGCACAAGCAGGGAATCGAAACCACACCACTTGACTCAATGACAGAACGGGCGGTAACGCCGCTGTCCAGGCACATTTCCCTCATATCTAATCGCCTTGCCGCCTTCATATCATCAATATGTAAAAAATATTGTCCGAGTGGAGCGACATCCTTTCGATTGGACGAGATTTGATAGCGGGGAGATGACTAAGTTGACATGCGTTACCGGAAAAGAGCTAAGCCATATATTGATTTAATTACGGTGTAAAAGTTTAAAATTTACCTGGATTGTAAGCAGGTGTGTTACAGTTGATGACTGTACCTTGATACTGGTAACCATTGACTGTTCCTTGTGGTTCATTGGAAAACTCGGATAAAACTGATATAAGGAAAGAGAAAGTTGGCGACCAAATGAAGTTCATATTATATTCATGTTCATTACCAATAATAAACCAATCGGATTAAAACACAGATTCTAATTCGTTTCGTCTTTTATGTAGTCGAGGCCTTCGAAAGTATAAAAAAACGAAACGAAATATAGATCTGTATTTTAACCAGATTGCTGAGAGTAAACAATAGCAAAATGACATTTAAAGAAATAGAACGCTGGACATTGACCGTTTAAGATAACTATTAGATTTTGACCGCTAGAAAGTAATATTATAATTCGACCAATGGAAAACAACTAGTTACGGAGTTTGGCGTAGCCACGATTTCTCAGAGAGTAACGTGCTGGCTTATTAACAATAGAGATTCCCCTGGCTGGGAAAGTTCTTCGGGGTTATTCAGGGTGAGTTTTCCTTGTCAGTGGTGCAAAGAACAGTGTCCAGTGTGGTGTATGTGCTAAATCTATTAGTTAAGGCCAGCTCAATTTTTTTTATCATAATGTATTAATATTGTAGAATATTTGCTCTTGAAATTAATGGTGGCATTATATTTCATTAATTAATGTCTTTGGTCAATTGCACTAAATATGCACTAAAAATATAAGTGACAGGTTGACACATAAAAAGAGTTATAGAGCCAAAACATAGCTGGTTCTATGTGTCAACAAAATACATGTGATTGGAAATTTACCTATTGCATCATTGGGTTTAAAAGACCAGCGAGTCTGGCTGAATGAGGTTTGAGAGAATGATTTATTCTATTATGCATTGTACCATATGTAAGCAGCTATGATATAATAAAATGTAAAAACGAACTGTTGCATTGTTATTCCTGGAAAGACAAACGTCTTAAGAAAACAGTAAGAAGTAAATACACAACGTGAAGGGGAAGTAAAGACAGCTAGAGACAAATTCTAGACGATCACAAGGCTACTAAAATATGTAGTAAGAAAATATGCATGGATCATACGTAGGATGTGGCGACCGGTTTCCATCGCTTGCTCTCCGCGTCTGACACAAGGTTCATGGTACTACAAAGGTCGTTGAGATGTAAATAAAGCTTGGGCACGTGAATGTTGGCGAGATTGGAGGTTAGGTTTAAGAATTTGGGGTTAGGGTTTGGATTAACGCTAGCCTTGTTTACATCTCGTGACCTATGGCGAAAAATTAAGCTGACCTTATCATTTAGCACTAACCGTGGTGTGTGTGGTGTCTTGGTTAGCCATGTTTTTATTCTTCGCACAGAGATCCATCTACTGTCCTAAATGGCCACCATATCCAGAAATTAGTGTAATGCAGTTCTACACCATTTCACATCTGTGATACATACAGGGATCTTTTACGTGCACGCCAATGTATACACGGGTGCTCAGTTTTCGTCCTATCCGAACGACTAGACAGCTGTTCTTGTCAGGCCCTCCGTTCTGCACCACTGACAAAGGGACAGTCCCGATGAACTTTCTCGGACAATACAGGGATCGAACATGCGACCCACTTAGCCATCGTGGCAGAAAATAAAAAAAAATAACAGAACTTACATCCGGCTATAATTCTAACAGGATTACTTAAAATGGATCCGAATTTGTTTTCTATAACACATTGGTAATCTCCTGGATCGAACTCTAATTTTGGATGTTCCATGGTTAATCGACCATTGGTGAGAGTATACCGGTCACTGGTACTGTGGTCGACAATTGTTTGATTGGCTGTACCAAAATTTTTATACCAGTAATAAGTTGGATTCGGATTGCCTTCTGCTGCACACTCGATATGTATTGTTGGTGAGCCCCGGATGATTAGAACTGATACGGGTTCTTCTATAATTTTGGGCCCCTTTTCCACCACTGATGCATCCAGTGTTGTTGTACCATATGCTGCACAATAAAAAAACAAAACCACATAACTCATACAATCTGATTAAAATACAGATCTATATTTCGTTTCGTTTTTTTTTTATACTTTCGATGGCCTACACTACATGAAGATCTGATCAATTGTACTGAAAGGTCGCGTTAGAGGTCGTACGAGCGGCTTTTCACCTATAACGTTCCATACATCGCACGCCAAGAACTCGCTGTAACAGACCGTTTCATTGACTAATCTCTCACTTAAACCAGAAGAAATCTTCCAGATCCTAATGTTGTAAAGACAAGAAAAACGAAATTTTGAACTATAAAAAACGAAACGAATTAGGATCTGTGTTTTAATCAGGTTGATAACTGGTTGACCACTGAGTTTAAAGGCTCAATTCCACTCTTGTTGTAACTGAATAATATGTCCCAATCTTTATTCTGGTCAACAAATTGTACTATTTTAGAATATATCTCAATTAATTGATGATACAAATTTCATCTTAACACACCTTATGTAAAAAATTTGAAAAATTCAACATGATGGTTTGAAACGTCTAACGTAAACCTTTTCAAATGAAACTTCGATTTAAAAATATTTTCGAACCCTCTGGACAAGTAAAATAGAATGTAATGGATAATTTACACAACAGGTAGGACACTTAAACATCTAGTACTTAGATAGAGATATTATTTATTTTCTGGAGCTTTCAAGCCAGCAAGAGTGTTATTGTCCCTTTAAATATGCGTCATGTAAGATCAAGATCAAGAGCTGGCCCTTCTTGGTAAAACAGTTCAAAAATAGATAACGAAAAATGTATTTAATTTATTGAACATTTCTTTATTCTGAGCGAAATTATGAATGTTCGAAGTTTTGACAAGATTTAACTTAAATAGTCTCGAGTGTCATGTACGGAGTAGATGGTGCAGGAGGTTTAATCCATTTAATACCTCAGCCATCCGATGGTCTAAAGGGTTGGTTACGGGGTTGCCATGTAAATAAATGTCTAAATAATAATTTATATAACACTTGAGATCAGAAAAAGACCTACAATAGCCAGATTTAGCTCTTAACTAATACATCTTTAATAATCACCATCACAGGTTCTAGTGGTAGAGTGTACTCCGTTTTATATTGGTGTACTTCGTTTTATATTGGTGTACTCCGTTTTATAATTAGTGTACTCCGTTATATAATTAGTGTATTCCGTTTTATATTGGCTTACTCCGTTTTATACTGGTGTACCCAGTTTTATATTGGTGTACTCCGTTTTATATTGGTGTACTCCGTTTTATATTGGTGTACTCTGTTTTATAATTAATGTACTCCGTTTTATATTAATGTACTCTGCTTACTCCGTTTTATATTATACTCCGTTTTAGATTAGTGTACTCCGTTTTATAATTAGTGTACTCCGTTATATAATTAGTGTATTCCGTTTTATATTGGCTTACTCCGTTTTATACTGGTGTACCCAGTTTTATATTGGTGTATTCCGTTTTATATTGGTGTACTCCGTTTTATATTGGCATACTCCGTTTTATATTAATGTACTCTGCTTTATATTAGTGTACTCCGTTTTATATAAGTGTACTCCGTTTTATATTTGTGTACCCCGTTTTTTATTGGTGTACTCCGTTTTATATGGGTTTACTCCGTTTTATATTGGTGTACTCCGATTTATATTGATGTACTCCGTTTTATAGTGAGATACCCCGTTTTTTATTGGTGTACTCCGTTTTATATGGGTTTACTCCGTTTTATATTGGTGTACTCCGATTTATATTGATGTACTCCGTTTTATAGTGAGATGCCCCGTTTTATATTGGTGTACTCCGTTTTACATGGGTTTACTCCGTTTTATAATTAGTGTACTTCGTTTTATATTGTTGTACTCTGCTTTATATGGGTTTACTCCGTTTTACATTGGTGTACTCCGTTTTATATTGCTGTACTCCATTTTATAATTAGTTTTCTCCGTTATATATTGGCCTACACCGTTTTTTATTTAGGATTTTGGCCTGGTTTACCCTTTAGGTGCTATGTATTTTAATCAAATAACCCCAAATTTGATATTATGTCATTATAACCCACACACACCAACAAAACAAAGTAATGTGAAAAAGAAAAAAAATAGAACAACCTAGCTTCAACAATCTCGTCTGCGCCTTTCTGAATTGATACCCATACCAAACGCCATCCCTAAAATATACGAGAAAATTGGCCACAAACCCCCTCCCCGTCATAAAATAAATTGAACTTACTAAAATCCCTTGCAGCTTCGTTGATCCGGTATGATTCCGCTTGACTGATTTCACAGATATAAGGTAGACTTTTCATACGAGCAGCCCAGCCCCATTCATAGGTACTTGTAAGAGCTGAAATTAATATCAAATTATCTATATAGATATTTGCTTTTATATAAAAATGTAACTTATCAATGATATTTGGGGGCATGTTTTAGTTCATGTAGAAGCCAGTATTACGATATTATACAGATCTATGATATAGACGAGAGAGAGAGAGAGAGAGAGAGAGAGAGAGAGAGAGAGAGAGAGAGAGGGGGGATTTAACGACCCGGAGAAAACCCACGAGGTTGGACAGGCGACCCTTCTCCTTGTCACGTACGACAGGCCTTATGATACAGCGCGCGCGTGCTAACCATTCGGCCATTCAACCCTCCAGGGAAGAGAGAGAGAGAGAGAGAGAGAGAGAGAGAAAGAGAGGATTTAACAAGAGAGGAGCATGCAAGAAGAAATGTAACGTACGATCAAACTGGTATACTATCTGAATAAAAAGAAATGTAACGTACGATCCAACTGGTACACTAGAGACCTTTGGCAAGCGTAAATTCCTGGTCCGTATCGCTTATCCGTATCGATTTTGCGCGTGACGTCATCAATGCGTGTGTATTTCTCATACTTGATACGGCACGCGGATACGACAGCACGTATCGAACAGCTTTCATACGGAAAAGGTCCGTATAACATCGTTGTCTTTTTACCGTGTTGTTTGCTACTTTTAGACGCTGAAATGTTGTGCCATAGCGTTTTTTATGAATCTATGTGTATCCTAGAACACGAAGGTGTATATTTCATGTGATAAAGACTGGAATTTAATCATTTTTTATGAGCTTTTCGCGGAATTTTTATATTTTTCCACTCTGTCTGCATGCTGGCTGATCTACGTGCTAAATTTAGGGAGGTGGGACCTTGCAAATCTGTAAAAGAAGTATATACCTTTTGAAATGATACATTAGTGAAACCAAAAAAGGCTGTCATGACCAAGTCGATGATTTTTAATAAGATTCGACACTATTTTTTTTTTATTATTTTTTTTTAAAAAATAGCTCAGCGATTGTCGAGCGACTTTACTCCCTTCAGGAATTTGTAGGCTAGGCATGACTTGACTAGTACTGATGTTGATCTTGGTAGATAACTGCCATCATGCTGTAATAGAACTAAGTTCAGCATAAGCTACCCATAGCCTACATGTACGTACGCGGGGCGAAAATCTGCCAAAACTCTAAAACTACATTGACGCAACGTATCACGTGACGATACGGATACGTGATACGGATAGGAAAAAATCCACTTGCCAAAAGTCTCTATACTATCTGAGTAAGAAGAAATGTAACGTACGATCAAACTGGTATACTATCTGTGTTTGTGTTGCCTTTTTTCTGGTGAATATATCTGTAACCCAATGACCTCCACTATCAGGTAGTATAACACCATCGCCTTCCCATCTATAACTACCAGCTATATCCATACCACTCGTGTAAAATCGTATATTTCTGAAATAATTTGAAATGGGGTTTAACGTCCTACTGTTCTCCACCGACAGGGAGAATGAAGAAAGGCATACGCCATACAGTGTGCTATGAGGAATATTTTGTGCCGACAGTGGAGCTATGATTCACTCTTATATCGAATTCCACCTGTCACTGGTTCCGGTTCTTTTACGTGCACACCAATGGGAAAACGGGACCTTGATATTTAATTCCATGGAAACGCCTAGATGTTGTCGTTGTAAGGCCCTCTACACCACTTACAAGGGGAAACAATTCTGGACAAACCTTGGTGAACTTTCTCTGCAAACGCAGGGATCGAACCCAGGACCTAATGGTTAACAAGCCAGCACCTTACTCACTGTGCCACCGCGACCCCCAATTGATATATAAAAATGTAACAATATGGCATTGAATCTTGAACAAAAAAAAAACAAAAAAAAAACATTTAAATTTTTTTTTCAAGATTCAATGCCACTCTAGTACATTATGTACGCGTGTGCTATGAACTAGGAACGAGCACTACGTCAGCGAAACTGTCTTTGAATTGTGGGGTGGGTCATAAACCAAAGCCCAGGCAGCAATCCGCAGAGGATGCTAAACGTTGCGAAATCTTGAATTCGTCATATCTTTGTAAATATGGAAAAGAACTGAACCTTTCGTGGACGGACATTTATTTTAAAAATTCAAGTTCCAGAATCTAAATGGGCATTATGGGAGATTAGATGATGAGTTGACAGTTCTCACTATAATAGTTAAAAATAGATAACGTAAATAGAATATGATAAAAAAATTTCAGTCAAATTGCGACACTCTGAACTGATATATTAGCTGTTGAATTTTGGGCTAGCCTCGATCATCATTACTAAAGTGGGTACGATAAAAAACAAGTCTCGATTATCCAGTTTACGTTTAATTATCCTTCACAAAATGTTTTCCAATCCGCTAAATATCGCCGGCTAGTGATAGCATCGAGAGTTGATTATGGTCTGGATAAATTAATAAATGTCTAATTAATAGTTTATATAATTATAATTATATATAACATTTCAGACCTAAAGAAAGACCCGCAATAGGCAGATTTAGCTCTTACATAAGTTATGTTTAATAATATTTCTTTTCAAGCTGTTTATTATTAGAATAAATTAATAAATGTCTAATTAATAATTTAGATAACATTTCAGGCCTAAAGAAAGTCCTGCTCTTGCATAATATATGTTTAAGATAATATTTCATTTTTTTTACTTTGGTAAAAGTGATAAGGCCTCTCAGATGTAGAGAAACGTTTTATTATAATAAACTGTTTTACAGAAGCAAAGAGATCTTACTTATCAACAACATTCTCGTCTAACCAGGTTGAAATAAAGGCGTTTTCAGCATCATCGTCAACACTAACTAAACTAGCACCATCAGCCTACAATTACATAACAATATAAGATTCTAGAATGAACATGAAATGCCATATCATCAGTCTGTATTGGTCAAGACTACTGTTTTGCGTAATACGGGTCAATGAGAGAGAGAGAGAGAAAGAGAGAGAGAGAGAGAGAGAGAGAGAGAGTTTAACGTCCACTTGATACAAACTAGTTCATTTCGGGACTAACATATGATTCAATTTTATTTCAATAATTTGCTTGCGCGTAGGCGTCTTTAGCAGTCGGAGAAAACCGGAGGATCCGGAGAAACCACACGAGGTTGGACAGGCGACCCTACTCCCTGCCACATACAACCGGGGAATCGAAACCACCCCAGTTGACTCAATGACAGACCTTATGATACAGCGCTAACAATTTATTCATCCAACCCCACTGTATGATGACGAACATGAAATGTAATTGGGTTTAACGTACTACTGTTTTGCATAATCCGGGTCAATGAAGACGGACCCACGACATTCAGGAGAATTTTGCCTGGAAAGTGGTTCTTCCGCGTACTCTCCTTCAAGGTATTTTTTCGTGCACTCGAAAGTGTAATTAGGATTTCGGATTTTCATTACCACCCAAAGGACGTGACACCACTGACAAGGGTAAACAGATTTTAAAATCCCGAGAAGGGTAAAACTTGCAGGAACATCCAAAGAAACTTGCTGGGCAACCACGATATATAACCCCGAAACACTCCGACTGGACAGCCGATATCTAATTATTAGTATTTCTGGATTTCTTGAATTTGGTTGCATCCGATGGTATTAACATTGTTCATGGAAACGAGATATGAACTTATTAAAAACTTACCTGACAAGCGCCAGTAGCTTGAAGAAATGTTAGAGTTGGATAAAACGTAAATCTATAACATCTTTGATTGTATTCAACCCAGTTCAACGGACAATCTGTAAAATAATGGAAGGAGTTTAAAATACAGTAACCGACATTCATTGCTCTGATGAGGCTGGCAAGGGGGTTTAACGTCCACTTGACACAAACTAGGTCATTTCGTGACTAACATATGGTTTAATTTGATTTCAATAATTCGCTTGCGCGTAGGGGTCTTTAGCAGTGAGAGGAAACCAGGGGGCCCAGAGAAAACCCACGAGGTTGGACAGGCGACCCTACTCCTTGTCACGTACAACCGGGGATTCGAAATCACGCCAGTCGACTCAATGACAGACCTTATGATACAACGCGCACGTGCTAACCATTCGGCACCCCCCCCCCCCACACACACACACACACACTATCGGCTGGCGAGGGATGAGGTAGGGTTTGGGATGGAGCCTTCTTATTTCTGAATGATCTTCAACCAAGTTCAGTTGACATCCTGTAATAAAATGAAAGGGGAGGGGTTTAGGGGTGGGGTTGGCGATTCTTTTACCTATGAATTATTTTCAACCCAGCCGACAATCTGTCATAATACAGTAATTCCTGTAATTCGAGGGGCGAGGGTGGGGTAGGGGCGATGGCACAGTTTTATTTCTGCATTATTTAAGTACGTACAAGTATTCTTACACAGAACGAATGTCAGATTTATAAATTAAGATTTTATTTGTCCCACACAAGTTTTAATCATTTTACTATCAGAGCGCGCGCGCGAGAGAGAGAGAGAGAGAGAGAGATGGGGTTTAACGTCCACTCGACACAAACCAGGCCATTTCGGGACTAACACATGGTTTAATTATTATCTATATTAGCGCTTTAGTTAGAGAGAGAGAGAGAGAGAGAGAGAGAGAGAGAGAGAGAGAATGGGGTTTAACGTCCACTCGACACAAACTAGGTCATTTCGGGACTAACATATGGTTTAATTTTATTACAATAATTCGCTTGCGCGTAGGGGTCTTTAGCAGTGGGAGGAAACCGGAGGACCAGTAGAAAACCCACGAGGTTGGACAGGTGACCCTACTCCTCGTCACGTACAACCGGGGATTCGAAACCACGCCAGTCGACTCAATGACAGACTTTATGATACAGCGCGCGCACGCTAACCATTCAGCCATTCAGCCATCCACCCCCCCCCCTTTTACTATCAGATATAGACATTTCTTTATTTATTTTTCAGCTCATCTAAGAAGAATATTGTTATGCAAATTTCGAACAAACAATTTTGAAAGTGAGGGGTCTAAACATTGAAACGAAAAA